CATTCAACTTTGCTTGGCTGCTGTGTTGCAAGTTTGCTTTGCTGCCAGCATGCTCGGATTCTTGCCGCGGCACGTGGTAAATATAGTATTCTCTGTTAGCTTAGCTGTCGCCCCTTTTTTTTCGTGTGACAATTTTTGCGTTGGAAAATCTTTGAAGCGTCACCAAAGTGTCTAAAATATCAGCGGCTCGCTGGCGTTGTGGAGGGAATGGATGGATGGATGGATGGATGGTGATGATGGGGAGCATACCGGTTTGCTTAGAGAGCAAACACGTTTGCTGAGCGGCTGCCCTTGTCAAGGTCATGCCTAGTCAAATGGCTGCTCTTTTTCGTTGTTTGTTGCTTACCAGTAGGTACATTTATTTGGGTTTTATGTTTCACCAAAAGCCAAACTGCAGCCAAACTTTTGTTTCACAATTTAATGGAGGGCTAAAATGATGGATCAGCAGCTGATCTATTGTATAACTGTGATGACCCCAGCTCTCGGCACAAACATGGATAAACCACACAAACACACACAGAAAAAAAGTTAAATAAAGTAAAATAAAGATACACCAGCCTGGGTCGGAAGGGAGGGGAAAATAAACTGTGGTTGTCGCGGGGGGCTCTTGAGTTCAACGACTTCACATGACAATTGGCCATTGTTGGTGTTGTTGTTGTTTGCTTGCTTGTTGCTGTTGTTGTTGTTGTTGCTGCTGCTTGTTGAATGCTTTGTCGTGGCAAAAGCCAAAGCAACAGCACGAGCAATTAAAAAGACGTTAATTTGTCGACTTTTGTGGCCACGAAATTGAATTTTCAACTGACCAACTCCAGTGATTAATAGCATGGAGCTGACTATCTCCGATCCCGAATCAAATTCTTCAACTCGATTTGCTTTTGCTTTTGCTTTTGGTTTTGGGGCAAAATGGGAAATGGTCCGCTTCTGTCGCTCATAATTACTGAAGCCTAAATTAACGACTGAGGCGCAGACGCCAACGGTTAAAGTCACAGTCAGCGAACTCTGAGCATTCTACACTCGGCACACAACAAGCCAAAGCCAAAGCCAAAGCCAAACCTCTAGATACGCAGATACATAGCTACATAGATACCAAAGGCAGCCAAAGGTATGCTCGTGCATGATTCTAATTACTATGTATGGGCTTTGTGCCCCATGGATTATATATAGACAATGCACAGGGACGCGGGATACTGACGAGGGGTTGTGGAAATTCAGCAGCAACAAGAACTCCATTGTTCGGCGAGCGTCGTCGCCAGCGGAGCGTCAGTTGAAGAACGGAGACCCGAGACTCTGGAGATCGGAGAATGGAGAATCGAGATCGTAGAATGGAAGTTCAAGTACCCCCTTACAGAGGCATTACATGATAGCTATAGATCATAGAGGAAGTCTTTAAGCCAGCTTCGTATCTCGTATCCCAAGGGAACAGACGAGGTGGGAACTGTGGTGGTGCGAAATCTAAGAACTTTTCTAATGACTGTCTTACTGTAAAGTGCTATTTTAAGGCCTACTCTATAACATTGGAACATAATAGTTAACATCATGGAATCTTTTATGAATGAAAACGTTTCAAAAGAGAATTTATTAATTTACACAGAAATAAACATCGAAGAGATAACGAAATCAAGTTTCGGCCCTATTATCTTTCCCGCATTTGTTGCACAGCTTGTGGCAGTTTTGTGTACACAACGCATTACCCAGAATGCCCAGTATCAGAGGTAAAAGGGGATCATCGGCCATCGGGCTGGCCATTAAAGATTTAGAAAGGCCCTTCATCACGCGGGTTGCCCAAAATCGAACGAAAGTGAGAGGAGCTGCTTGCGCGGCAGAGTGACAGGTACAAAAAGTGAGATAAAGTTGTGGCGCCCACCGGGGGGGACTTTTTTTTTTTTGGGCACGATGGTGTGTGAGGGGGTTGGAGTGTATTAAAGAGAGTGATCTGAAACGGAAGGGAAATAAGGCGCAGATTCTTGTGAGTGAATGGTAACCCAAGACTTTGTTTACTTGTCTTTTGTTCGCCTTTGGAATCATGCCGGGACTTAAGCTTCTTGCTGGGCAGCTGCTTTTGGGCAGGGGTTGTCAGGGCCTCTTCCCGAGAGCTTATTGCGCGTCGGTGAGAATCAGAATGAGAATCAGAAACACAATCGGAATGGGAACAATTCTGCTGCTGCTGCTGCTGCTGATTTAACTGCCGCAGTGGTGGGTCAAATACCTTGGACAAACTCGATGAGCGACCATCTTTTTGTTTGCTCACTCAAATTGTTTATTGCTCGGCGGCTAAAGCCGATGCAAATGCTGTATAAAATTCAATAAACTGCGAAACCAGTTTATCAGTTGATCGGCAAGCTCGGTTTCTCAGTGAAAAGTCTTAGACAAAAGTTGCCAAATAATAAACGCCATATGTATGTGTACATTAAAATTAAAAAAAAAAATATCAAAAAAATATCAAAAAATAAACAAATACAAAATGAGAAGAAGAAAAAAAACCGAAATAGTCGGCAGTTCCGAGCTTCATGTCCCAATCATCATCACCACCGTTTGTTGTCTTTGTCGCCGCGTTTTTGTTTGCCTTGCTTTTTATTTGATTTTTTCACATCTTACTTTTTTCTTACGTCTTTTGCTTTTTGCTTTTTATGTGAGATTCAATTAAAAACTTTTGACCAGCAATTTCATAAATTTGCCGGCCTTTGGGCAGGGGAAAAGAGCGGAGGGTGCCTCTAACGTTTCCATCTCCATCTCGCCTACCACCAGTCTGATGTTAATCAATTTTCGCAACAAATTTTTGCACTTGCCATTTGCCTTAGCGGAACCAACAAAATATATATATATTTAAAAAACATGCTGCGAATGTTTTTGAAAAGGAAACATGCGCTAAATAGAGCCATACAAGTATCTATTTACGTTTTATCTCGTTTTTTTTTGCGCTTCTCACTTTGTGGAAATTACTTAATATGCATTTAGCCGCCGTGCTTCGACCTTACATAGCTGAGGCTGCCTGCTTTTTTGATCGATAGTTGAGAGCCGCGATAATGCCGTTTCCGCTGTGGTTTTCATCGACGCCGCATCGGGCCAGCATCATTATGGCCATAAACCATTGATTGCCGCTCAGTTATGTGGCCGCCTGCCCGTTCGGATAATTATATTATCAGAGTCAGGCCTCTGACGGTTTAGTATTCTGGTTCTCAACCCCCCGCCGATCTGCAGAGATATAGATAGCCAGAGTTCAGCAAAGAGATCGAGAGAGCTTTCGATCCAAACCAATCCGATCCGCTGCTTTCACTGCTGACTCAGTGGCTTTTTCTTCTGACGAAGCCTGAAGTCCGACTATCTGTCATTTTGATTTTCCGCTTTTTGCAGGGGCCAGCCACCCTGGGGCAAGCACAGTTCAAAATAGAGCGATTTCCCAGTCTCCGTGGAAAAACCAATTCAGGTGAAATCAAATGATTCGGCCACCAGCAGCTTAAAGACCATAAAAGCTTAAATGAGTTTTTGAATAATCTTAAAAACAACTCATGTTAAGGGGAATAATTTCTTAACAGAATGTGTTGCTCCATAAAATGATAGTTTTTGGAATAAGAAATATGAATCAGATTCTGTTTAAAACGATTTCAGGAGAAAGGATAGGATACAGTAAAGACTTTCTTGGGCGGATAAACAGACCCAAACACACACTTCAATTACTTTGTCCCACTGTGCAACGTGTGAATTTTGCCGACCAGGAGAGTTTTTTGCCCCCAGCACACCGGCATAATTTACCGTTTTGGTGGTAGCTTTATCTGGCGATCAGAGATCGCAGCAAGTCGTTGGTATTATTTCGGTTTTTGTTGCAGTTGTAAGTGTCGTAAGTGAATTTTGTAGAGCTGCTGCAAAACGGAAACCAGAAGAACTGACAACTTACCTAGACAACGACCTCAATTAGCGAATCTGTTTTGGGCCGCGTCTTTCCATGGTTCTAACTGCCTTTTGATGTGCCTAGAAGCTGAAAGCTGAGCTCTGCTCTAGTGTTGTTGGCTTAATGGCGCTCTATTTCCTGTCAGTTCACATGCATCGGTCCATAATGCCTGTACCCAGGTGAACACACACTCTCTCACACACACTCTCTTTTCTATCTTTCTTTTTGATTTAATTTTTTTTTGGGCTAATTTTTTTTTCTTTCGGTAGACACTTTCAAACGTTTCGAATCAAAAAAAAAAAAAAATTGTAAAAAAATAAAGCAAATTATTTTGCACACACTCGAACAGTTTCACACACGCGTAGCCAATTAAAAAGCCATGTAACGTATGTAAATAAACAAAACCTTGCGAATTCTTTCCCTAGTTTTCATCCGCGAGAAATCGACGCAGCGTGAGCGTCCGTTCGGCGTGAAACTCGTTTCTCGACTGAACCGCTCAGCTGAAAATTGACTCTGAGGCTCAGCTGCAGTTGCTCGGCGGTTGGCGGCTGACGGTTGCCAGCTGACTATGAAGAGCGGGAGAGCTGTGCTGGCGAGCAACCAACCTCCCTCCCGAAAGCCCACCACCTCCCCGATCTTGGGAATGTGCATTAACCAGGCGCACGCACACGGGGCCCAGCCCAGCTCCACGGGAATTACAATTAATTTGACCAACATTTTCCATAGGAGCACCCTTCCAATGTACTCCCATTGCACTTTTGACACAGAACTGAGACAAATAAAGTAATTTACTAACTGAAGTTGGGGGTATAATATGATTATCTAAGATACGTGAAATAAATCGCCATCAAAGTTTAGTTTTTAGTGCAAAAAAATGATATTAAATCATATTGAAAATCAAAAACTTTTATATTCAGAAATCATTTTAAAGTAAAACTCTGACTTGGTCTAGAATAAGAAAGGGTATTCTCAGCTGTGGATAGTGAAACACAAGGTTCTCGGTTCTCAATTTAAGCTATTGATCACGTTGAACGGCTGCTTTGCCGTTGTCACACGCTAAAAATATAAATATAAATATTCGAATATAAATATGTTAAGTAAGAAAAGACAAGGATGATGTATTCGATATTGATTTATTGTATATTGAATTTATTTGGATGCTTGCGCTTGCTTGCCTTTGAAATAAGTTCATTAAATAATTGAATTTCTAAACGAATTTCAAGAGAAACTCTTTACTGACCTCTACTTTTGCTACCAACAAAATCAATGTACTCCGCAAATGGATGTTTTGTCTTACTGTTCTTACTTCAATAGCCATAAAATCTCAGTGTGTTTGCCTTTGAGTGTATCTGAATTTACAAAGTAAATCGCTAAATATCTCACGTGCTGGCTGGATCAATGAATGCCTCGAGTGTGTGAGTGAATGCGAGTGATAAATGCCTAATAACTCGATCGCGCGTACTCACTATTCAAAAGTAATTCGTATATGTCAATTATATATAACTATATCTAGAACTATTTAGATCCATGTATATATATATATATATATATATATATATTAGATTTTCTATTAAAGCTGATAAATGTACTTGATCTCGTTTGTTATTAATTCGTATAATTTGTTAGCGTTTTTCCCTAGCTCAAACTCAGCGCTGAGCTAAACAATTTTCGTTTCCTCAATTCAGATTCCTATTCCGATTCCGATTTCAATTTCAATTCTAATTCCAATTCCAATTCCAATATAAATTTCAATGTGAAATGAACTACCAAGATTCCCTATATATTTATATAAGATCTAACTGATGCAAAAATTTCCATTTGTAAATAGTTGAGAAAACGTGGAATTTAAGTACTAAAAATTGTATTACGACCGACAACTAACGACATACCACACATATTATGTACTACTACTACTACTACTACTACTAACTGCTGAGGCTGTAAATGTTATGTGTATAAAGACTACTCGAACTACGCTAAGCTATCCATACAATAGTTCATTGAATTCGTAAGGCAATTTCACCGTCTCGATCCCGCAACATAAACCCGAAACTGCTAAGCTTTAAGACATAATCATGATCTCTAAAAAAAATAGTCAGTGTACGAACTCCTCTAGATCCTAATTCATTTGGCTGGACTGCAAGTGTTATGTTTTTCCTTTCCTTTTTCTTTTAATGGCTAAAATTTCTATTTTCGAGTGAGTGAGAGTGAGTGAGAGTGTGCCCAATATTACCAACTGACAGAGACTGACAGAGACTGACTGACTGACTGGCTGGCTATATCGTTGTCTATATCTTATTTGGCTGGGACTCGGTTCTGCCACCTTGGCTCTGCTGGCAGGAGAATCGATTTTTATATCGATTAAAAATCGTTTTAATCGCTTATCGCTTATCGTTTTTTTTGTTTGTTTTGGACGCAATTGGACGCCTAGAGCTGCCCGGAATCGTTGCGATCCGGGGGATTCGCTAGCTACAAAGTCGTATCAAAAATCTTAACATATTACTAAGTGTTTGGTTTTGCATTTAGCCAGTTCTTTCGGTGAGACAGCCCGTTACGATCACCGTGATATGGTTGGGCTGCCCCGTGCAAATTGTTATCTAACATCGCTTATCGATCATTTATCATTGCTCATCGGTAATCGTTAATCGTTAATCGAGGCTCTTTTGATACTTAGCTAAAATCTACCCACACAACACAGTTAGAAAAACAGTAACAGAAGGGACAAAGTGGGTCAAGTGGTGATTCCCTAGCCTGCGACTATTTGGGACACGGAGTTGGTGCGTCGGCGTTTGATGATCTGCTTCCACAGGCGGCGGTTCAGTGATGGCTTGTCCTAAAGTCAAAGTGAATAACTTTGGGTTAGGAGATATAAAAGTTATCTTTATAACTTACGTTATCCTTGCGTGGCGACATCTGTGCCATCTCCACTGAGTCCTGGGCCTGCGACTGGCCTGGCGGCAGCTTCTGGAGATGAAGGCTGCTCTGGCTGTGGCTCGGATGTGGCTGTTCGCCAAAGGCGCCGTCGGAGAAGTTGGGGGTGCTGCTGGTGCTACTGGCTGTAATCTCGGAGTTGCGACGCTTTATAAAGTTGATTCTGCAGATCGATTAAATATTGAATATATATATATAACATATATATAGCCTTAAAGCCGACTCACAATCGCTTAGATCTGCCCACTTCGGTCTCGAGGAATGCCTCCTCAGTCATTGTTGTTGTGGTTGTGGTACTGATGGCTGCCGCTCCGTCCATCGAAGTAGTACTCCTCGTCCTCGTCAGAGAGGCTGCTGCAGCTGCTCGTTTGGGCCAGGAAGAGTCGCGCTTCTCCGAATCCATCCCCGAACGCATCTCCGTAGCCATGGTCACCAGAGTGGTCGTGGACGTCGTCTCCTTGACTCGACAGCCACTCCTCGATTGAGACATGGAGTATATCTTCTCTCGTCTCGCTAAGATTTCCAGATCGCCTAATTTGTTCCCGCCTTTGTTGGAGCTGGAGCCGATGCTGTTGTCGCCGGCGTTTCCGTTCCCGCCGACGACTCGACCAACAGATCCACCACCTTGAACCGCTTGGTGCAGATGACCCATTGGTTCGGCGGCGGCACGGGTTAAACCACCGGCGAGCGGACTGCTGCCGTGACTGCTGCTGCTGCGACTGTGATTGTTGTTGTTGCTGGCCGAGCCGCCCAAGGCGCCCGCTGAGAGGGGGCGGGGCCGGCGGTTCACCGTCGGGGTGTCCATCTTTGAGTTGCGATGTTGAGAGTACGATATGACAGCCTCTTTTGGCTGCACCCTGTTCGTGGCTGAACGACTCAATAAATCGCGACCCGTCAGACGATGAAATGTGGAGAGGTCGTGCCTGCATAAGGGATTAGATGAATCCTTAACCTCCACTGATTCCCATCCTGGTATTCTCTACTCACCCCAGAATAGTTGTTAGATCGGGACCAGGCTCGTAGCAGATCAAGTCCTCGTCCCCTAGGATGTCGTGATTGAGGGCCAGCCGCATTTCCAGCCTTGGGCTTAGGCCGCATCCAGCGTGGGGCACTGGGGCAGCGGGTGTGTCTGGTGGTGCCGCCGGCGGTGACAGAGCCACTGCAGCTGGGCTGCTCTGCTGCCCCTTCGAACGGGGTTGATGACGAAGGGTGGTGGGACTCTGGTGGATCGGATTTGCCGTCCTCGAGACTGTTGCTGATGAAGTGGCTGAGGCGGGCCTGGGTGCCCCCAGCAGGCAGGTCTCGATTATCGTTGATGACGGTCGTTTTTGGGCCAACGCCACCGAGCTGCTGGTACTCAGTGTTGTCCTTGACCCGGTAGCGATTGGGTCCGAAACGCTGGCGGCGGCGCCGACAACCGCCGAGCAGCCACTGTCAGCAGTAGCGCCAGATTTTTTTGGAGGTGGCTCCTGAAAGGGATAACAGTTAAAGATTAGAACTCTAAACACACCGGTTGCTTACCATTTTGGCCTGAGCAGCGCTTAGATCGGTCTGCGTGAGGAGCAAGCGACGCGGAGGTGGCGGCGGCGGTACAAATCTCGGAGGCCTGCCGCTGGCTCTGCCGCCGGAGTTCGTAGTGCCGCTCGCGCTGCTGGTTGTTGTAGTAATCGATGAGGGAGCTCGACTCGGCGTCGTCGTCGTCATCGTCCTCATCGTCGTCGTCATCGTCGTCGTCGTCATCGTCACGATCGGCATCACTGCTGGCTTCACCGGAGACGGAGGCGCCCGCCGAGTGGATGGCGTCGTGGTGGTGCTGCTGTTCCCGGCGACGGGGTCGCGTCCTGTGCCGCTCGAGGGGCGCTGATCGAGCAGATACTCGCAGGATGAGGCCACCAGCGGTGCCGGCGGCTGAGGATCGATGGCCGTGGTGGGCAGCAATCGGGTGGTGAGCAAGGGACGCGGCCCCATCGCACTCGTGGCCAGATTCGGAAGTAGACGCTCCACGCTGGAGTGCGTGTCTTCCTGGTCCTCCGCCGCTGGATCCTCCTCCAGGTCCTCCACCGACGGATCCTCCTCCCGATCCGGCACCACTGGCCGAGGAGCTAGTGGTGGGACTGGTGGCGCCGCCTCGCTGTCGCTTGAACTTCCAGCCGAATCCTCTAGGTAGTGGCCATTGGTCGTTGCTTCCCCCTACCAATTGTTGGGAATAGAATTCAACTAATCAATTCTGGTTGGGATAGAAATTCCTGCTAGCGGTTGGCGCCGTTCGACATGGAATGAAGATGAGGAGGATGTGATTGTTTGGTTCGTTAACAGTACGGAATTTCGATAGCAAGATCGGATCGGTACGATTAGGGTTAGTACGGAGGAGGCTGTGGGTGGTGGTCCTGTTGTGTTGGTGGCTGTACGTCAATCTTGTCCGGACGTGTGATGTTGATGAGCTCGCAGTATTGCAGGATGGGCTAAAGCTTCACTAATTTCACTACGACCTTCTATGCAAGTACAAGTATTTGTATTTAGCAACAACGATTTACGAACACAATGAGCATATAGGCAAAAGGAGTACAGTTTACATACAATGTCAAAAGATGTTAGCGTGATTGATTGATTGATTGATTGATTGGTTGATGGTGATGATGGTTAATCGATGAAGATGAAGATGAGTTGCAGTCGATGATGGTTTATGAAAGTACAGACAAAATATAAAGAGACAAACCAAGGTCAATTCAAGGTTCAAGGTTAGTTCGTTGAGTGATTGGGGGGCTACATGCAGGTGGATAATATCTAAAGTTTTCAAGCAGATGGAAGATAATCCCTGCCAAGCAGACTTATCTCTCCGTCTCGCTCTTTTTCGGTGCCTGCGTACAGTTCAGTGTCCACTGTACAGTGTAGTTTGCCATGCAGCGGAAATGCTTAAATGCGGAAACGCGAGCACAGAACACGGTTGCATTTCGATATTTTTTTTTTGGTTTTGGGGCTTGTGTCGGGATTTGCTGTAATAACGACCCACCTTTTTGACGTCATCGCTGTCCTGCTGAGTCTTCTCTTCGTCGCTCTCCGTCTCCTCCTCAAAAAGGGGCTCAAGGCGACGTCTACGTCGATATACGGATACGGTTACGGATACGGATACGATATACGATATACGATTTCGATAATACGTGTGTATGGCGTATGCAAACGAATTTCAATTGGAATTTAGCAAAAGTCGATCGATGTGTTGATTGATTGAGTGTCGATGGCGTAAATGATATATCAAATTTCGAATGATCAAAACTTAGTTCAAGTTATATATATATATATACGTTGGTAAAAAGATATATACGTATGTAAGTTTAAGAGGGTTAAGCTACATAGGTATGATCCCTCTCGCTCGTTATCGACCTGACTATGTCTATGACTAGATCTAGGACTAGCCGGCAAATGAGTGAGCAATACTAGTTATAAGGATATATAGTGGTTACAGATAGAGATACATTATATGGCATTGGATCGAATTGAATTTTGGATTGGGTGATATACGTATGGGTGTGTGTGTTTGTGTGTGAAACGAATGGAAAGGATAGAATAAACACCTGTAAAAGCTACGAAAGAAAGTTTCCAAAGAAGTACACAAAAAAAAAAGAAAATTCGTATTCTTATTAACAGTAGGATCAATGGAGGCACTAGACTAAGCTATACTAATTTATGGTAGATATATAATATATGTCGAGATACTCGTTATGGTGTTTAACAGTTAGAGAACGACTGCCTAGGGTTTCTCTACCAGCTGTGTGTGATTATCGGTGGGTGTGTCTTTGGGTTTCCGATTGCCAAATCAATCCGGAATTCTCCCTCAAACCCTACATACCGTGGCAATAGTCCTCGGATCGTGCTAGCCGTCATCGGTGGTGCCATCAGCAGCTCGTCCATCATTAGTTCCGTGTCATCGTCGTCATTCAAAGAGGTGCTCGACTTCGTAGGCGACTATATAAAAATAATCCTTATCATCATAAATACATTTCGAATGTAAAGAAACTCACCGAATGCGTGTTCTCCGAATTAATGAGCTGCATGTCCTGATCATCGTTATCCCCGCCACTGGTGGGCGTGCCCCAAACCTCTTCACCACTAGTGGCTCCCGAAGTACACTCGTCCATCTGCTCATCCGTCTCCGAGGCTGTGCCCTGTTGCTGCTGCTGCTGCTGCGTATCGCCAGCATTCCAGCGACCCAAATATTTATCTATGAAGGCCCGCGACTCCTCGAAAAAGGACATCTTGTCGGTGACATAGGCACCCGCTCGATTTGTCCACGCTCCACTGGCCAGGACTTCGCCGTTGACCATAACTCCCGATGAACTCGATGCCCCCAAATCGTTTTGCACTAAAGCTCGTTCCGAACCGGCATCTTCTTCGTCCTCTTCCTCGTTTTGGGGACCATAGTCATCGTGGCCATTTGGTGTAAAGGGTTCTAAATCGTCGTCCAGCTCATCGCCTTCATCCATTCGGTCATCGGAGGGTAACTTCTCTAGACTGGACATGGTGCCAAATCGCCGGAGAGCACTGCTCATGGGTCGATAGGGTGGTTCCTCATCCAAAGGGGACTCGTCACACGAGTCCTCTGGTATGTTTTCAATGATAGCCTGCCTGGGCTGTTTGGTTGTTGTGGTGGCGGTGCTGGTGGTGGACGTTCCCCCGCCATTCGAGGAGCAACCACTGTTGTCCCAGACATGAGTGCTGGTCTTAGTGAGTACCGAATCGGGAGTGGGTGGAACTACTGATATCGTGGGTGTACTATTTTCCTCTTTCGAGATCCTTTCCTGTCCACAAAGCTTGGCTGCTGGAGCAAATTGAGCCAAGCCAATGAGCATCAGGGACAACTGCTCGTCCTCCTGTTTCTGCTGCAGAGTGGTGGCCGTTTGTTTCGGTGACTCCAGTAGCTTACAGGTCTGATGCTCCATTTTGTCCGGAGAAAGCTGGGCATTGGTAAAGTCCTCTGGAGTGCAGCGGCAATGGCAGGCGGTATATTTGGCGGGGGAACCACCCACCGAGCCCGAGCCGGATCCCGATCCTTTCGTCGGACTGCTTCGCATTATCCTGGCTGTCTCCGTAAAGGTAACAATGGCCTTGACCTGCTGGTTGGCCTTTGGCCTGATTGGTTCCTGGCACATTTGGGCCACAATGCGGGTGCGTCGTGGTGGCGGCAGCGGTTTTGGCGAGCCGCCACCACCACCACCACCGCCGGCCGAGCAGTGACCATTGGGCAAGGATGAAGCTGAGACTGGTGGATCTAGATGACGTAGCTGGGAGCCGATGCTGGTTGGGATCCCCTCACCGGCGCTGCTACTACTGTTGGGCATCGCACCGACGCTGTCATCCGTGGCCTCTGATTGCGATTGGGAAATTTCATCGGTTATCAGTTGGGCGACGTCGCTTTCGGTGTCACCGGTCTCCCGGCGACTGCTACTGGCCACCACCTTGGAGGACAGCTCCCCCGTTATGGTGCTACTGGACATGCTGGTCACGCTACCGGTTCCTGTCCGATTGCTCATTTTCGTATTGGCCAAATCCACGGAGCCCGCAATGCCATTGTTGAGCTTGCAACAGCGATTTGGCGAGGATTGGCTGTGCTGGACCTTCAGGGAATTGCAGAGCAGGACGGGCGTGGAACTGGAGTTATTGACCCCGCCTCCGCTGCCAGCACGAGCTCCGCCCGGCCCGCTCTGCTGGCAATTCTTGTGACAATGACGGCAAACGGCCAGCTTGTCCAGGACAATGGGACTCGAGCGTACGGTTATCTGGCAGTGGAGCGGAAGTAGCAGATGGGATAAAGTTGGGGAGAAAGAGCAGGGTTAGCATGGAAAGCTACTTGTAAGCAGGCAGATATTTTAGCTATAGTTATGAGTTTTCCTTAATAATGAGGAGAGATAAGGAAAGAAATACCTGGCTGTCCGATGTGGTGCTGTGCGACTGACTGATCACACTGGTGACGCCCTCCGCCTCCGATGTGGAGTATATATCCGAGGTGGCACTCATGCTTAGTTCCTCGACGCCGCTCAATCGTTTGCCCCCGAAATTGGGCTTCGCCGATAGGCCGCCATTCTCCTTGGCCAGATTCAGCTCCTTGGTGCGTTTCTCCAGCTGCTGACGGGTCCAGTAGGTGATCCTTTCGTCCTGTTCGCTGTCGCTGTTGAAGATCAGCTGCTCATCTTCGGCACTTACATTCTCCTGGGATCGCGCAATGGCCGCTAGCCGAGCCTGTTGCTGTTGCTTGTCCAGCTGGCCCTTCATCCAGTTGGCCAGGTGCAAGGCACTCGACTTGGGTGTGCCAGTCTTGTTAAGAATGCGACACTTCTCGTCGATCAGCAGCTCGATCTGCTCCACATGACCACCATGGACACCACGGCTGTGGCCGTGACCGTGGCAGCGATCCGCAGATCTTTCGGTGGCTTCTCCGCCGGCAGAGTGGGCATGGCCGTGGGAATTGCTGCTGCGCTGCTGGAAAAGATCCGATAATGTAAATAATACGTTACCTGGACCTGGACATCGTGACCTTGAGCTGCTCTAACCACCACTCCACCACCACCACCAGCACCACACACTGCCACCCGCCTATCGTTTGGCAAATTAAAATTTGTGATGGGCTCATTTTCTGTTTGCTTTTGCTTTGGCTTTGCTCGGGCCTTGCTTTGTGTTTGGTTTTGCTTTGCTTTTGGGCCATGTCTCTAGCTGAGGTAACTTTTGAGCTTTTTTTTTGGCGAAGCGGTGAAACGAAACGGAAACAATAATCTCGGTCCATCTTTGATTAAAAACGCTTGCTTTTGGCTAACAATGGAGTACGGGTTAAAAGGGACTTGGGGACTTTACGATATATACATATATATATATATATACAATATATATATCTATATATATTATATATAGGACAAAAGACAACGGTTAACGAAAGCGGTTACAGACACACAACGAACAACTAATAAGCAATTGAAGTTGAAAAAGGTTTCAAGAATAGGAAGAAGCAATTCGAACTTAAAACTAAAATTGAGTCCATCACAATTTTTAATTTATCAATTTTGGTTTTTTGATTGTTTTTCTTTTTTTTTTTTCATTCTTGGTTTCCGAAAAAAAAAAGATTGTTGTTTTGGTTTTTTTTGTTTTTCTGCGGATCGGTGGATTAACCAGGATCTGCTTATGCGGAGCTATATGGTAATTCAGTGAGTGCTCGGTGGGTTTCTACATGGTTTGAATTTACTGGTTTTTCCTTTGTTTTTCTTCTCTTTTCTTTTTCTTTTTCTTGTTTGGAAGTGAAATAAAAAGAACATCACAAGCGTTTTTAGTCAAAGAATCATTTGGTTTTTATTATTATTCGATTTCATCGTTTCTCTTCGCAATCTCAATTTCAAACGGTCGATTCTCGATTCTCGATCCTCTCGTCTTATGTAAAATGTCGAAAAACAATAAATCGAAAACTTCTAGACGTACATAAGTTTTACAGAATATGAACATGAATCTAAATATTAGGTATATATATATATATTGTGTGTAAATGTGTATAGAAAGTTGTTGTTTATGGCTCAAGGCACACACAAAAAACGTAACCGCAAAAGACAACGCGGCGTATGCTTGATATTCAACAAGTAGATCAAATTTGCAAATAGATGTCTGTGTGCGAAGTGTGTTTGTGTATTAGTATGTGTGGGCACGATAAACTAAACCTCCTGGCTGGATGGCTTTAGCACCAAACTGACTCTGCACTATGGGACCAAAATTACAAATTTCATTACAAAAAAAAAAAAAAAGTTATTTTAACTTCAAAAGTTAGGCAAAACTAATGTTAAACAAATTGAAAACTATTAAATACGATATGAAAACACTACAATTTGAGTTGGTAAAATATTGAAAATCTAAGAAATTATTTCAAAGAAGATGTTGGAAAATGTATCTAGAAATCGAAAGAGATTTTATCTAAGAAAAATGTTCAAGAAACTACTTCTGAGACCCACTGTGCAAAGGCAATCCTAGTGCTGATTCATATACTTATTCGTAACTATACATATGTATGTGTGTAACCTGAAGATAGACTTTCAAAGGCAACAAAGTGCTTGTCATAGATAATTGACATCGATGGATCAATCAGATACATTAAAGTAGCAAAGCTCCCATCCAGCCAAAAGTCCTTCGACTGAGCAAAGATTCGTTAGAGTTTGAAGATACACACGGATACGGATACGGATACGGATACTATATGTAAATACTTATAAGGATGTCTGTATATAAGGAAGTAGAGTATATACAATTTGGATTTGAATTTGAATTTTGATTTAGATTTTGATTTAAATTGGGTTTTTTTTTTCTTTTTTGGCCAATCGAGTTCAACTTAACAAGCTAAATCGAATAATCGAGCGAGACTACAAGAAATTTGGCTAAAGGTTTAACTTAGCGTACGAGGATGATCCGATCCGAGTCGAGACTATAGGGGGAAGTTGGGTTGAAACTAGGTCTAGGCTAATGTAGGATAACAACAGCAATAACAGTAATCAATAGGTTTTCAATTTGGCTACAAAATGGAAGCTTCTTTTTTTAACATTAGTATAAGGTTAACTTGTTGGTTTGGGTTTTTGCTTTTGGATTTCCGTTGGATTGGCAAAGAAGTTAATCAATCAAATGGTTAGTACGAATATAGTGAGTAGGTATCTGGACATCCATATATATATGCATATTGTAGGTATGTCTATAAGCTAAAAACTTTTGTAAAGCGCTAACTCCGATGGAGTTGCGATGTCGCAGATTCTGCATCTGTGTTGTGTATATTTGACTAGCTAATATATATATATATATAGATGGCTATAACTAGGGTGTGTATACTATGTATACGCATATATATTGCTAAAAAGATCTAAGTACTAGCATTACTAAGTACACACATACAATCCTCATCGAAGCTTAGACCCTGCTCTCGTCCAAACGGTTCGTTGCTATTTACACTCGATTCAGAATCGACTTGGATGGAACGAATACCATATGTATACGGGAAGGAGGAGTACTCAATGGATGTCAACACACGAGTATATATGTACAACACACAACAGAGAGATACATACGTCTAGAGAGCGATGGTTATATGTCTATGTACACTTTTCCACGGATAAATGTCACTTCTCACTCCCAATTAGAGTCAATTATTGCTTGTCACCTGGATCGAATTTGGTTTGACATTTACGGTAAAGGAAAGTTTCCACCTCAAGAGAAGTCTCCGAGAAAAGCAGTAGTAGTAGCAGGGGAACTCTCTTCGACTCTTTTGAGGCATGAAATCACTTTTAAAAGAAGAAGGCTAAAGCCTAGCCAAGATCCAGGTGATATATTCTCGTTTTTTTTCTCCTCACTTTTTAGGTTTCTCATTCTGATATCCTGGCAAAGTCAATCCCCAATCTTCCGTAGAGAGGCTGCCACTATACTGAAAAAGTTTTCATTGTGAGTATCTGAAACTTGGCCAAAAGCTGAGGCAAAAGCAGAGCAAAGCGGCGTTTGAGCTGGATATATAGTATATATATATATATATAGAGAGATAGAGAGATGGTTCTTGGGTAGATCAGTGGTAACATAGTTGAGTAAGCTCGTCGAGATTCAAAGATTGTGCGGCAAGGGGCTGTTAACGGGGTCTGACTGTAGCCAGAAGTCAAATCACAGGTCCAGCGAATCCGGCGGCGTTGGTCTAGTGGGTAGCATGCCAAAGGGATCGTCCACCACCACGCTATCCTCCTCGTCACTGTCCTCGTCGTTTCCCTGACCCTCAATTCCCTCCCTGTCCTCGTCGTCGCCCAAAAAGATGCACTCTTCCACATCAGTGTCGTAGCAGGGATCCAAATTGACCTCATGCAACTGAAGGTCCAGCTCTAGCAGATCCCAAGAGCCTCCGAATTCAGCTAGGGGTATATTTGCTACTTTCCCGCTTGCCGAGGTTGCCACAAAGTCATTGGAGAAGGCGTCCGAGTTGCAGGGCTGCGAAGTAGTGGGTGAAATATTGGGTGTGGGTGTTTCGGGAGTCGTCAAGGAGACTTGACCACCAACCACCCCACCGGATTCATCTATAAAAGAACGACCCACTGAACTCAGGCTAAACTCCATGAGTTTCTGGGAGGGATGTGGATTCATGGGTGGTTCAGTGGTAACCTCCGGTATGGCCGTTAGGCATTTGCAACTGGACAGGGACAAAACGGAGGTCTGTGTCTGCGAATTGGCCTGAGAACTATTTATGGTCTGGGTGTGGACCTGCGTTTGGGTTTGGATCAAGCTGGCGTTGCTGCTCAAGCACGAGCTATTCGTGTTAAGGCCAACAACACCCACTCCATTGGGAACCGAACCGCCCACATGACCTTGACCAACCGGATGGTGGTTTCGGGCTGGCGAAGTGGTGCGCGAGGGCAACGAGGTGGTGCAAAGGGGCGGCTGGGGATGCGACTGCGTCTGGGTGGCACTGCTTGTGGTGGTGCTGGCACAGTGGTGCCGGACAGCACTGGCCAGCCGCTGAAGATTCTCGTAGGAATCACCGCTGTCCAAACGCTTGCTGCGAAAGAGACGCACCTGCTGTTTCTGCTGCTGCTTCAGGTGGATGCTGTCCAACGAGGGCAGCTTCATTGACCCCATGGAGGCGGTGGTTAGTCCAATATCGCTTAGTGGCACCAGGGTGTTAAGGACATCCGGCGAGTCCAAGGGACTGGACAAAGGCGTGGAGCCCAGTGCGGCATTCACTAGGAATCTAGGGGGATAGAAAAGTTATTAGTGTTTATCTCGATGGGTTTCTTTCCAGGATTACACCACCGTAACTCCAATAGTAGGATTTGTAGCTGGTGTTACCCCTAAAACGGATGACTTACATCTGCCGCTGGAGAAGATTCTGCCAGACTGCCTTGAGTTCCAGCGAAGGTGCCCTCAAAATAAGGCTCTTGCGGCGGGCTCCACGTTTCGGTGTGCGGGTGAGATCGGGGGCACAGTAGCCCGTAGGACTCTCCGCCAAACGGCCGTTGGGATCCACGGTGAGACGGAACTCGGTGGCTAAGGAGAATAAATAGAATGTAAAGTCAGGAAGTGGAACATTGGACAGTCGGGACTCACTTTTCTTCCGCATGTGAAAACAAGAGTCCACCACATTGGCGATGGGTATGGGCTCTTCCGTGATAAATAGGACTCGATCCCGGCTGACCTTGGCAAAGACGATGATGTCACTGAAGAGTAAAGTCCAATAGGGTTTCACGGAGCGGCCCTCAACACGAGACAAATCCCCACCAAAGATCCATTGGCGACCCTGAACGGCCAACGTGAAAGGCTTGCATTTGGTGAAGACCATTCGGGACTCCAGATCCTGGAGGGTTAACAGTGGGCGACCTTCACCTAGCGGTTCCATTAGACCACTGCTGACAGTGATCTCCCGATAAGCAGCCTGCAATTCGTTGATAACCGTGCTGAAGTTCTTGTGCTCCTCAGTATCCACATGACAGTTGCCGGCGAGCAACTGCATCAACTTGAGGATCTCGCGAAAATGTTGCAGTGGTCGATGGATAAACATGGTGAGGTCGGGTCTTTTACGTGGAACCGCCGGTTCAGTGATGAAAGCTATAAACTCGGAACCCGTCTGTCGGGATTTATTGACCAAAACGCAATCCGCCCGCTTGATTCCGTTGCAGTACTTCTTGTACGCCGCACAGATCGCTGTTGTCTTGGACAGATAGACCCGCGAGGCAAAGTTCATATGTGGCTCCTGATCCTGCTGATCGCTGCTGCACAATTGCTCCAGGATGTCCTCCGCAATCCTTAGCAGCTCGTCGATGTTCTGGAACAAAGTACGATGATCATTCGGCGAGATCAGATCCTTTCGCTCCACCAGCGGCTGTACGAATCGATCCACTCCGAAGTGCAGGGCAGCCGTGAAGTTCTGTTCCCGACTAATCAGCTGGAGCAGAAAGCGCCTACGGTTGTCCGTAATGGGCACAATCGACTGGGGGCAGTAAGAGGGTTCAAGGGGTATCGTTAGGCTAGTTGTTCTTGAAAGTAATGAGAGCTGATAGGAATGGGGAAGGCACAATGAGATAGACTTAAAGAAAGCAAAGAAAGTTAGACATGTATGGAGGGGTTGGGTTACGTGGACAAATAAAACATAAACTTGGGATTGAAAAAAAAGTTTATTGTCAAGCGTTGTGGGGTCGCAGGGAGCTTAAGGACTCTCAAACAAATTAGAGGCCTCGGCTAGGCAAAAAAAAGGATAAATAATATAATAATAGTAATAATAATAATAAAAATAAAAATAACGATAGCCAGCATGGCGATAACTTAGACACTTAAACTTAACAAATACGTATGTACACAAAGACACGAAAAAAGGGATAAAAAAAGTGATCCTTAGACGAAGACACCTTTGCCTACCTCCTTGCTGAAGGTGACCTGCGGCAGATGGAGCCTCCTTTTGGCCGCCTCGATGGAGGAAGTGGTTCCCGAGCAGGCGGTGGCCGGTCGGCTCAAACTGTTGCCCACCGGCTGGATTCTCGTACTGGCGGTTCTTTGCAGACTCATCACGGTGGTCGTTCCGGTGGTGGTGGTGGCCAACGTGTGCTCCTCGCTGCCCAAACCCACGGCTGCACTCAATCTGGTGCTCATATTGGCATTATTCTGGCCCAAGTCCGTCGTGATTGTTGTGGCGCCCGCGCCTGACCTTCTGAATATCTCCAACGTCAAGGACGAACCCTGCGATCGTATCAAATTCAGAACATCAGCCTCGGGCATCGTGACCACATTGTGCTTGTCCACAAAGATCACATAGTCGCCGGGCAGAATTCCACATCGATCGGCCGAAAGTCCCGCCTCGATTTTCTCCACTCTCGGCGGATGGGTCCAAACTATTGAGAATCCAAAGCCCCGCTCCTCCGTTCGTGTTAGTCTTTTCGTTATGGTGAATGGCGTTCGTCCCTGATGCTGACGAGCAGCTCCTCCTCCTCCTACTGCGATAGGTGGCATGGTGGACTGTCTCCTGCCACTGGATGTCCCATTGTTGAGGTGATTGGCATTGCTCTCGTTGGCTTTCGAAGCCGAAGTTTGGGAGCCCGTCGTTTGTGCCTGGGTTGTGTTGTTCGCATTGCCATCCGCTGGGGGATCCAGCTCCAGGAATCTCAGAAACAGATTCTCGTCGGCATCTCGCTGGTGGAGTGCCTTTTTGCTCAACTTCATGGGTTGCTGGGGCTGCTGAGGCAGCAGGCTATCCTCCTTGCCCATGCTATCGATGCTAATGCTGATCACCTCATCGTTCAAGGGCATAGCTGCTGAGTTCGAGCCCGACCCAGATCCAGGGACTACTGGTTTTTGGGGAGTGACAGTGGCGGCGGCTGCCATATCTGCAGGGGAGTCCTCTAGTTGATGTTCCTGGTTCCGATTCTCTACCGCTTCCGTTTCCGCTTCCCGTTGCCGATCCTGGCCTGCGTTGCCTTTTGTTTGACTATTGCGGTTGTTAGGCGGAGGACATGCCTGTGCCTGCAATTTGTAGGATCCTGCCGTGATGCCCGAATCCGGATGCACTAGCTCATTCAGTGGAAAGGTGGTGCAGCCCAGAAACTCGCTGCGTCTGCAAAGGAAGTAAACGAATTAGTTAGCTGTGTTGGTTCTTTAGGGTTTTCCCTATCACTAAAAGATTATTTAAGTGTCCTTCTTAACCATTTCTTCTTGATGGCCAACTTAACATGGCAAACCCTTTTTCTAAATAAACTTCTCGGTTTCAAGAGGTCCTTTGAATATTTTATAGCGATGGGAGTTTGAGATGGTCTATGGCCTGGTTGTACACCGAAATCCGAAATCCTTGGCCCCTCGCCCCTGCTTTTGGATAATACGAATAGCGATTTTGGTCAGTTTGCGTCACGTTGCAACGTCTGACGGACATTGTCTATTTATAAGTGAGTGAAGGTGGCTCGCCCGCAGCTGATCCAATCCAATCCGTAGAAGCCCCCTCGTAACCCCCAACCGCTAGCACCTAGTTTTCCCGGTCGTACGTGACATAAATCAATTAGCGGCCCTAAGCTGCTGCCACATTCCACATTTCTACATGCCACAAAGTACGTACATGTGGCCCGGAAATGCGCTTGGCCCGGCCAATTTGCTATGGTGGTTGGGGGTTGCTGGCCCAGTGGGTGGTTCAGTTTGACGGGTGGGTGGCTCAGTGGGTGGTATGACAGTGGCTTGAGGCTCTGTCTGCTGCTTCTTCCACTGGCCACTTTAGCTGAAGTTGGCGCGCGTATTTGGGTCACTTTTATTGATTTTCCTTGCAGGGTCCGGGGGCTTTCATATAATTCTTGGTGTTTTTCCTTTTTTGTTTTCGAGGCGATTGCAATCGCAGCTGTCAGTTGGAAGGTGCATTAAAAATGTTGGACTTTCGTACTCGTACCACTCCTCCGCTTTGTGCCGAAAAGTTGGGCATAAATTATTCAGAGGCCAGTCGTTTTGTAAATTGACTTAAAACGTTCCTCTTTTGGCCTACACTATTTTCACAACTCAGTTGAGGGTAAATTATGCATGGCCAACAAATAGAGGCAGGTGCGTGTGAGGCAGGAAAATGGAATAGGTGATATGGTTCCCGGGTGTACATTTAGTTAGTTGGCCACTTCAATTAGCTGCTGACAGCAAAGAAACAAAAAAGGAAAGGAAAGGAACGGCAAACAAGAAGGGGGTGTGTGAGTGTGCGTGAGCTGGTGATTATTGCATAATCGCCTTAAGCACGAGCATCGATTTGGCATTAAACTTAGCACTTGACCATTTTTATTATTATTTCTCGAGTGCTCCGCTCCTGAATGTCCTTGAATTTTAATTAAATTTCGAGCATGCTGCGAAAAGTCCTCAAACAGATACTCCAGAGCCCTACACACACATACACGCACACACACGCGTACGCGCAGAACTTCCACTTCCTGTTCGCAATTTGTTTAGCAGCATGCTCAAAATTATGCTACACTTTCCATGCTTTACATACACACACACACACACATACACAGTTATATAAGTTTTTGTTGCATATTTCTTTGGGCACTAGGATATTCCGAAACACTAAGGACACTTTGAAAAAAAGGTAAACAAAAAGTGATATTGCAGCCTTTCAGGGCCCGCAAGGATATATAATTTTTTGGGCCTACTTTTCCTCGATTTCCTGCGCTTTCGAACGTTGCCAGTCGTTCGCCGTTTTTCGTCGCTTTCCACGCGAGCTTGCCACTCGGACTGAGTAACGGGAACTGAGCTGGGAAAACTCGGGAAAACTCTGTGAGCAGCGCAGGTCAGCCTGGGAAAGTCGCTGGAAGTCGCGTGCCCGAGCCACTGCGCAAGCGCTGGAATTTTGGAAAATCCAGGGGACAGGGGCCGAGCGCTTGTTTATGTGCAGGAAATGCACTAGGAGTGCGAAAGGCACTGGAGGTGCCACGAGGCCAGGAAGAGCGCCACAATTAACCAGACTTGGTCTTTTGCCTGTCTGTGGAGTAGGGCTCCCAATCCCATTCCCTTCCAGCACTTCCCCCGATAAGCGTTTAGGGGTGAATGACTTACAACAGGACGAGGCGAACGATGATGGCACGCGCAAAAACATGATATTAGTTGGGGGGTCTGGTATCTGGTAATATTGTAAGCTTCTTACAGGATACCAAGGGAATTTCCCTTATTGATTCTGTTAAATTACTATATTGCTTGATATAATTATTAATTATTATATGCAATTTGCTTGAATAGTAGTTAGGATATCCTAAAATAGGTTTCTGGCATTTGTTGAGAACTTTAAGGGACCTGCAATCCTGTAGAGGATTCTTACCGTCCTTACCTAGCTTTACAATCAATACATTTCCTAACGTGCACTCTTTAATTTCTAGGGGTTACTTTCTTGTTGTTTTCTTGGCTTTCGACCGTACTCGTACTCACTTTAAATGGCGATCCCGATGCCACACGGCCAACTGAAGGTACTGGCCCGTAGTTTCCTCGCCACTGGAAACATGGAAGTTGAACCGCTGATCGAAATACGGACGTCCCGAGTGCCGATGGACGGCAGTACGCTGATAGCCTGAGCTCATGCTTCCACCGGAGGAGTGTCCACTGTAGCCGGGTGGATGGTTGCCTCCGGACAGAGCCACCTTGACGTAGGCATTAATGCTGCCATTTCCACTGCCATGGGAACGCTGCAAGTCCCGACAACGAATCACTGCAACAGCGTGAGGTGGAGAAAGGAGAAAGCAATTAACAGGTGAGTTGGTTGTAATGAATCTCTTGGGCATGCGGGTCAGGATGAGGGATTTTAAAACCCTGCCAGGCTACTCCCCTGATAATCCTATTTAGCGAAATTGAGTTGCGTCTGCAAGATATATATTTTGTGCCCTTGGCTACTGTTTCCTACTTTGATGGCTTACTCCTGCCCAAGGACTTAAATTCATTGGCTATAATAAATTCTATTTGCTTAAAGGTGAAAGGTAAAAGATATGCCCGACTGGCTGAAAAGCTTTTCTTACATTTAAAAGGTCTTTAAAGCTGCCTTCTAGGAATCATAATCAAAGCTGTCTTTATAAATCTTATCCCTTTTAAGGGAATGTATATCGGGTTGGGACCTTTGGAACTCACCATGTACATTGAGTTGCTGCTCCTTGGCATTATATGAAAGGCTCACATCGATGCTGCCCCGCTGTCTTGATTCCAAGTCAGCACCACTGTTACTGTTACTGTCACTGCTGTGGGAGGTGCTGCTACTGTGGGACGGGGGAGTGGTCGCAGGGGAGGCCAGCGAACTTCTCTTGGCCACCTGCTGCTCATCGTCATCCAAATCACTCGATGCGGAACTGGATGAGAAACTCAGACAGCGTTTGGTGCTGGGAATCAGCTGCAGTTGCTCCTTCTTGACTTGATGGGCCTGCGTTTGGGTGGAGGTTTTGTGTGGGTTCTTACGCCGCACCACCCGCTGGCGCTTTAAGTGGGTGGGAGTACGCACCTCCATTTCGTGGACGCTGGTCTCGCTCCACTCCCCGTTATCCGCCAGAATGGTGGCCGTTGTGGTGGCGGCACTAGAACCATTAACAGTGGTAGCCAATGGTTTTGTGCACCTGACTTCCTTCCTAGCCGATTCTATTATGGCATCCAGCATGCGATCCAAAGTGGTATCACCCATTCGCGATGACGATAGCTGCGAATCCTCGAGAGCAACTGCTCCCAATGCTCCGCCGTTGGTGCGTGGCAAACAGCGCAGGGCCGCCAATTGTGGCGTAGCCTGCCTAGGTCCACTTCCTTCACTGAAACTCCTGCGCTGCGGACTCTTTCCATGAACATTGCTCAGATCCTGCAGGGCAATCAAACTGGCATTGCCGAAGGGACTGCTCATAAAGTGCACCCCAAAGTTCTCCTTGTTGGCGTCTCCCGCTGCTTGCACCACGCCCACTCCACGCCGCCGACTGCGTGACTCCTCTACCACGGCACTGGAACTGGAGTGGCGATGCATCCGTGTCATGGTTGGCATGTCCCTACTGGCAAAAATCAAAAAGTAATAACAAAATATATTATTAAACAGGGAAATCTAGGAAAGGTTTAAGAAAATCGTGTCAATATTCTCCATCATTGAGATATATAGAGAGCCTGATTATCTATTTAATCGATTCAGATTAAAAACTGTAATTTAATTTCTACAAATTCCTTGGCATGTTGGCCCTTATCCTGAACATTTCTTGGCAGATTGCTGCAAAAATAGAATAGATTTTTCTGGATGATTTCCCGGATCTTGTTGGCAAATCGGGTCGGTTCGGTTAGGCTCGGTTAGGGCCTTGGTCCTTGGCAGCTGGCTGCCAAACAAGGGGATCAGAGCGACGGGTTCCGATCTGGTTTCGGTTGTATTCCCATTCTTCTGTTTTTGCCGTCCTTTGGTTTTTTTGGGAACTCTTCCAGACAATTTCGACGAGGCAGTAAGGCAAAGGCAACAAATGAAGGAGGCACACTGGCAAACAAAGTGCAAGACAGGACAAAGCAGGAAATTTGCAAATTGTTTTTGCGGCAAACGAGTTCCTCGCCAGGTCCTCCATTTGGTTCGCTGTCCTTGCGAATTTCAGGTTTGCATTTAAATTGAAATTAAACTTATGCTAATTTCCCTAACAGATTTCTGCGCTGCGGTTGCCAACCATAAAATTGAGCGGGTTCTTTTGGGCAAGGAGTCTTTTAAGGATGCTTTATGGTCTGCGATCCTTTTTATCTGTCTATGTATGTGCATGTGTGTGTGCAACAATTACGCCCCAGCATAATGATGCCATTTTGCAAAAATGCGGCAACCGGCAATCGGCAAAGCCGAAAGGGACCTCAAGCAATCCTCCCAGAGATCCTGGCCTTTGTCTCTCACGGCGAGTGAGATAGGAAATGGGTTTTCGTGTAATCCATAAACGTCACCCCAGCCCCAGAATAAGATGAAAAGCCGGGCGAAATTGCACGAGGAAAGGCAGCCGGTAAAGGCGAGCAAAAAAAATATTTTCTTTCCAGCCCAAGATCTTTCGAAGAATGTGTGTGTGTGTGACTTGTGCCCGGCGGATTAGCTTGGGGTGGCACAAAAAAAAAAAAAAAAATAAGAAAGAAGAAGTTGAGGGGAAAAAAACACACAGCAACAAATTAAATGTATTAGAGGACGCACCACCCCTTTTTTGCTTGTGGGCCCCGAGATCTGGATCTGGATCTCTGTCTCTAGGGGTTAGGGACTTACGTCCCTTCTTCTTCCCTTCTTTTGGCTAAATTAAAATTAGAGCTAGAGCAAAGACAAACACGGCTACCTCATGGGTGCGATTGTGATTGTTTTTCTTCCAGCTGTGCCGGCGTTTCGGAAACCGAGCTTATCAAGCAATCTATCGACCGATCGACCTAGATGAACGCGGATCGATCATTTTGCTAGGCCCGTATTGTATGACTTGTTGTAGGGTATGGACTTACCTGGTAACTTGATCTGCTTGCGACTAGGTCGCCTGAAGAACTGCAACTCGGCTTACGCTACAGTACACCTTGATTTACAGCACTGCTTAGGTCTGGGAAAGTTATCTTTGCAAGTTTGTCCAAACACAAATAATTTTTAGAATAACTTTTGCACACAAAAAAAAATCGAAATAGTTATTCAGCCAAAGGTATTTTTATGTTTTCGTAGTTACAGTTCACGTGTCTGCTTCGCACGAGGTCAGAAACGGAAATGATGATCGGCCCAGGAGTACGCTTCGGCATAGGCTCTGGCAGAAGTACGAAGACCGAAGTGACACGAAGGTCGCACGAAGTTAAACAAATTGGAAAATCAACCACCAGAGAGCGGTTCAAAGAGAGCGTAGTGATAGCAAACGTGGTTCAAAACTCTCTTTGGCATTGATGTTGTGGGCAGACTAACGGAATCTCGGCTGTGGGAACAACGAAACTGAAAAGAATATCAGATAAGGAATATGAGAAGCTATCAATGAATGACTATTTGTTATTGTATATTTACTCTATTCCCCAGTTATTTTAGGGAGCCGAGTGGGGACTAGGTGAGAAAGTTGTAATGTTTACGTATGTAAAGGGGAAGCAAAAGATAATGAATTCAAGAGGGATTTGAAGAAGAGTAGGCAACCAGCGATTAGTAATGAAAGTGAAGTGAACAAGTTTGGGTGTCGCGATAGTGTGATTTATTACTGTGTTAAATGAGAGATAAGCAGTCTAGATAATTGTAAATATAGGTTTACATTTGGTAACAACTAGAACTAAAAATTATTATATATAGCCCGTGGGAGAAACAAGCAGATTAGAGAGCTCTATCCAAAGGGATTTCTCCTTATATCTCAGGACTTCAGCTGATCGGAGTTTCAGCCACCATCCGACAGGAGGCGCTGAGTGAAAGGTAAGAGCAATCGCTTAAAAACCAGAAAAAACCTCCTGTTGAACCTCCCTTCGCTCCTTTCTCTCTTCGCTCTTCCGGTGAAAGAATAGAGTCGCTCTGCTAAGCAGGTAAATCCTGGTCGAATGGATCCTTTGTGTTGTTTGGCCAGACTTTGCTTTTTGCCTCTGCCCATATATACTCGTATATGTGCCTATATTGTTAACAATGATCTGGTCTACGGACAGCTGGCGAGGAACCAGTAAAAATAAAAAGTGGGAAAAGAAAGGAAACCCACACGGCGACGTCGCAAGGTGTCTTAGCCCAGATTTGTCTCGTGTGTTGTCCAAAATGTGGAACAATTGCCAACGGGAAACGGCAGGAGCAGAAGCCAAGATCTTCGGGACTACAAAAACAGTAGCCTAATGTCTCTGTCCAGGGGTATCGGTCATTACTTTCACTTTGATTTGTACTTGGTCCCAAAAATTCCCATTGTGTGTAGGCGGCAATTTACGAGCCGAAGCTTCGGCAAATATTTGCCCAGATGCTAGGATCCTGGAACCAAGGGTCCTTGTAGGATTTTAGGACTCGTGCCCTATATTAGCAGCCGGTTGGCTATGTTTATGTGACGTCCGCTGTCGATCTTGGCATTTTACGAGCTCCCATCAACTTTTCCCGACCCAAAACAGAATTCAATACGATCGTAATGGCAATGCAATTCTCATTGCGTATTCCTTGAGGATTGCGGGGGAGTTCGGTTGGTCGGGTTTTCGTGGAAAACGGAGTCGGTTAAGAGTACTTCAGAAAACGGTTGCCCAATCCCGCTGAGACCGCTTGAATCCCACAAGTCCTTCAGTCAAAAGTCGGACAGCTGTGGATCTGTTATGTCATTGTATCGATGGAAAGTTCTTGACTCATAGGAAGTTGGCTGAAAGAATACTTAATGAGCCATCAAACGAAGTGTTTTGTCTTCTTGATGGGTTCAAGGTTTTCAAGTTTCGCCAGTTAAAGGATCTTCTATATTATTTATATATTTATATTGTTTGATTTAGCCCACCTCCAATCGATCGGAGTTTCCTTTCAAAGGACTTTCGCTTAACCCCCATGGAAAACTCAACCCATGCTTGCGCTTTTCATGGCCGCTGGCTGAGATTCAAAGGGCAGATTTTGAGGCTGATCTTTGTCTCTGTAATTGATACGATTTCCATGTTTTCGTAATTCGCGCTTCATTAGAATCGAAATTAGCAACAACAACAGACATATCTCCGGTTGATGGAAGGTTAGAAGGGTTACATCGTGGCGGTCCCGGGGTGGATTTGACATTTGTGTGTGTTGGCAGTTTTGCAAAAAAAAAAAAAAATGATCTAAATCGATTATAAATTCAATTTGAATCCCGATAGAGTCGAGGGTTTGGCAAACTAATTGCGAATGCATTAGGCATTAGCCTTTTGGGTTGACACCAACCTAAACCCCTTGACATATATGGGTGGCCCGAAATTTGCCTAATTTGTGCGAAACTTGATTTCGGCATGTAAGCGATAAATATTGCGGATTTCAGGGATTTGCTTGAAATTTGCATGCCTAAGTAAGGCCAACTAAAATGCAAATGTGGGAATGTTGGGAAATATTCATATATAAAGAAAAGAGAGCGAGAGAGATAGATATATAGAGAAGGGATCTGGGAAAAATCGAAGAAGACTTTTGATTGACAGGCCGACAGGACGCGCCCCGAAAAAGGACTTTTCCGCAAAGAGAGCAAGAACTGCGACTCCGATGTCCTTGTTCTGTTTTGATATTCACTTCACACAGACACTGACACACACACACGCACACGCTGTGCTGATCTGCTGATCTGCTTTGGCTTGAAATTTGATAAATGACCAAAAAATGGCAGCCACTGCTGACTACTGACTACTACTGAGCGGTCCTTAGTGATCCTGCTGGCTATGCTGTTGCCAGGAGCACAGATCTCTGGGGGGTGGGCAGCACCCTTCTCAAGACTGCATCTCCTCAAAAAATCAAATTAGTGCAGCACTTTTTTCCACTCCTATTCCCAAACAAATTTCTGTTTTTTCCACCGCCAAATTTGCATTTCTCACAGGGTTCTACGAAACGGAAAAAAAGGTTTATCCACCCAAAATAAAAAAACGAGAGAAAAAGAGTTGTCTGCACTGCAGATCCTTGGGCCGTCGTGTCTTGTGTCTGCAGTTGCATCCTTTTCGTCCTCATACCCACAAAGGATTCTCAGACATCGCGGCGCCCTCAAGTAATTTGACAGGCAGCCCACAAAAAAAAAACCGAACGAAGCCGCCGGATAAAAAACGTTGATTCGAAATAATGCAGCTCACTTTTTTAGCCAAAAACCCAAGGAAAAAAACTGAGAAACTTGTTATGCAGCATGTCAAGTCGCCGAATGACATTTGGCAGCCTGATTTACGAGGCCCCAGGCTCTGATTTTCTGTGCAAGCGCATTTCTCGGATGCGAATGCAGCCTGCGATCCTGGGCGAGATCTTATTTTGGCAGTTACCAAAGCCTGCCGTGATCGCCGTGGGGCCCAAGACCCAGATGGCAAAAAAAAAAGAGTAAAGCCGAAAATTAATTGAAAATGTCTGCCTTTATTCCGAAAGAATGTCTGTTCCTTAGGCGTTCTTGATAAGCTATTCGGGTTCTTATCGATGGAAAATAAACTAACTTTGAGATGTAGAACTGACTCTGAGAACTTTTTAGGATGAAAGTCTTAAACTTAAAATGAATTTAAGAGATATTAGAGAAAGGTTATCTTTGAATTCCTGCATTTCGGCCATTATCTTAACCACGTGGATGCAAGGGCAAACCTTGGCATCGAGGTTAAAGATCTGGCAGAATCGGCAAACAATCTTCGACTGCAGATGAACCCACACACCTTTGACAACTGGGCTAATGAATGGCCATCACAGTCGATCGATCGATCAAGCATGGCGACGGTTCCTCGGTCGATCTGCCACCTACAAGCTGGTTTTAATGGCTCACTTAAGCACATCGACTTGAACCCCCGAACTCGAATCGCTCAAATGGAGTGCTTCCACACTGATCTCTGTCCATTTCCGGGGCGAACTGTCAACGAGCACTAATTAGAATGTCAGTCGAGGTCCTGGTCAGCGCCAGGACAACCCACACCGCAGTGGAAACCGCAGCAGAGAGTAGGAACCCACACTCCGTACAGATCTACACAGACCACAATCGCGGCAACTGCCTGACGGATTGATTGGAATGATTAATGACCGGGCCAGTGTGGCATTGCGTGACAAGTTTGTTAGTAAATTGAGCGCACCGTGGATGCGGTTGTCCTGTGTTCCTCCTGCAGCTTGCCACTAACACCTTTTACTGACAGTTCCGAGCAGTTGCATCATTAATCTTTTCCGGCACGTACTGTACTGTACTGGGTACTGTGTACTTTCTATAACTATTGCTTTTCCTATATTGCTATATCATAAGTCATCCGACGAACTATACCCATAAGTTCTGCGAATTTGGCGCATTTCCCACGGCGATCTCGCGGCGATCTTAAATTGGTTTTAATGAAGTCCTCATAAACTGGCCGAAAACTGTCATAAGCCGGGATTGGATCCGAAAATTCCCCCACCCTTTCCGAAAAACCCAGCGTTGCGTGAATTTTTCGCCGAGCTGACCACAAGAACAAACAGATTTTAATAGGAAATCAAAGGGAAATTTATTAGATGCGATCATTGTTGTTGTGGACTTCTTCGACCCTCGCGGCGTTTGCATATCCTCTGGCCCATACCCTGAGATCCCTCTCCACCCCAAGCCAAGGCCAATGTAAAGGTAAATACCTCGGAGATTAATGAGATCTTCTTATGGGTGATTTTTTCCTATATTTCCATTCTGTTTTCTGTGTGGTTTTTTGTCGGGGGTTTTTCTTGTGGATTTTTTATGGCTCGTTTAGTGATTGAAAAGCAGGGCGCCTGTCTCGTAATTTACATGAAATTACTTCATTTGCAGGGGCATTCTTTTCTCTTGGCTCGTTGCTAGCAAACAAATCGTGAGAATGCAAATCAGTCAGGGTTCGATCACTTTTTCCGATTTCCGATTTCTGATTTCCGTCTTCCATCAAAGTCAGAAACTAAAGCAGATCAAGGTGTGGTCCTCGAAATGGTTTGGTCCTGCCAGCTGCTGACCAATGGACACGCTGCCAATTAGCCATGAAATTTTCCATCTTGCAAGGACCTTCGCCGTTGTCTTTGTCCTTTGCCGTTGGACAGTGGAAAATCAATGTGCAAAATTATGCCCCATACGGCGATTTTCATAACCAGGCCATGAGTTATGAATGCTCTCCTGATTCGGCTTATTAAAGTCAACGTTGAGGATATTCGAGTCATAAACGAAATATTTACAGGGTAAGAGTTCTAAAAATCTGATTAAAAGTGAAAGAAGTTTGAAACTTTTATACCATTCCCTTGGCCAAACTCCCAGAGAATTCCCATAATAAATAAGGAATCAAATATTTGTCAGAGGAAAGACCTACAAGACCCCATAGGTGGTTTGCATAACCCAAGATGTGCAATATCTAGTCTTGGTCTTGAAACTCGACCGAGATCACGAATAAAACAGCCACTGAAAGGACACTAATCACATTCCATTCAGGAAAAGAAGGACATCCCGCTGGTCGTTGAATAAATTCAGCTGGAGAGATCAGCCAAAGATCAGTAATCCGTAATCCCATTCCTCGGAGACACCCGAAAAGATGCAGACGACCGACCCCCTGTCGTTGCGCTTGACCAGGGAAATGGGTTTGTTGGTTTTCCCTTCAGTTTTTTATGACCCCCGACGAAACGCCGATGAAAACCCACCAAAAACGTTGGGCAAACACTCTTGTCTCACATTTTACGACAGTTTTGCCACTTTTTTGTGGACATTTCGCTGCGGTCAATGTTTTTTGCATATGATTCTCAGCGATTTACGATCCCAAAACGGGGATGGGGGGCATTGAAGAGAAATTAATGTGAAATTGAAAAAAAAGGCAGAG